AACTTCAGCGCGAAATTATAGCTAATTTGCCTACAAACGTCAGGTGGTCATAATAATCTTGCCACTCAATATATATATATATATCTCCCACGTTCAAAGGCTGTTAAATCGCATTGTTTACCCATATCTTCAGAAAAAAAATGACTTCTACTGTCGTGGTAAACAACCTGCTTCCCTATTTATAATGGTCTGGCCCTCTAGCAACTTCAGCGCGAAATTATAGCTAATTTGCCTACAAACGTCAGGTGGTCATAATAATCTGGCCACTCAATATATATATATTTGTATTTGCATCGAAAAACTCTAGAAAGATGTATACAAATCTACCAGGAGAATAAAAATTGTATGTTCCCACAAAAATTTGTACACAAATGTTCATAGCAGCATTACTCAAGTAGTGGTGGTTGTGGTTACACAACTGTGAATGTGCTAATGTCATGGAAGCATACACTTACAAATGGTTAAGATGATACCCTAGCCAGATAGCTCAGTTGGTCAGAGCGTTGTCTTGATATACCAAGGTTGCAGGTTTGATCCCCAGTCAGGGCACATACAAGAATTAACCAATGAATGCATAAATAAGTGGAACAGCAAATTGATGCTTCTCTCGCTCTCTCCCTTCCTCTCTCTTTAAAAATAAAAATAAAAATTTTTAAATAAGGATGTTAGATGAAGAATGGTAAAAGTTACATCACTTTCACAACCACTGCCAAGCTTACAACATCTACTTTATGAATGAAGGCTTATGTTTTTACACGTTGAGGCTCAACTTCTCAAAAATAGAAATTTAGTAACACGAGAGGGAAGGATGTATGTCTATAAAAAAGGAAAAAGCCAAGTCAGCCCAATAAACAAATTACATCAAAACAGAGCCCAGGGATTTTCCCTTTAGTAGAAGAGTGTGCTGCCAGGAAACATGGCTTCCTTAACAGGAGTCCCTTGCTAGTCCTTTAAAATATTGTTGACATTTCTTGATCTTTGGAAACAATGTCAAGGGGCAAATCAAAACCTAATATTGAACAAGGGAAGGGAGTGCCAAGCTGATGCCAAAGTCCTTTTGGTCAGCATGACCACACATTCGGGTGGGAGGTTTGAGAACCTGTTGGGGCCACAGCAAGATACGTTGGCCCTAGAATGCTTCAGTATTTATATGTTTTGAGAAATGATCACCACAATAAGTCTAGTTACCATTCATCACCACACATAGTCACATTTTTTTTTTTTATCTTTCGATATGAACTGTCAACGGGAGAAACATTCAAGTCTGTGAAGAATTTTTGTGAGTTTATTTGAGCCAAAGTGTCGACAACTGCCAGGAAGCATTATCTCTGAGATAATGCTTTAGAGAATGGCAGTTTTGCACCTTGCTTTATACATTACAATACAAAGAGGAGACGTAAGTGGGTTACATGAAATCCACTGGTGATAGATTAGGGAGGCGGGAGAAAGCAAAGTCGGGGAGGGGGGCCTCTGGGATTGGATAAAAAGTGAAATGATAGACACATGCTTCTTTTACTTAGGTGGCTATGGGATAGTTAGCAATTAACTCAATAACAGTGAGCGGTGCCTGTGCTTTGAGGGGTCTGGGAAAAGGAAAATTACTTTGACATTCTAATGATATGTTATCGTAGATGCAAAAAGACAATGGACAGGCTCAGTGAGGGTAAAGATCGACCTTTGTCAGGGGAAATGCTGGCCTAGGACATCACTACCCACCATCAACTGCTTTTGGTTAAAAAGTTTTAATTTCAGACCATCCTTTGTGGTTACTTTAGGTCTCTGAATTTGCAAGTCCTCCACACAGGCCTTCCCTGAGCTTGTCAGGTTAGCTTGTGGCCCCTTTTCGTCCACAGAGCTTTTAAGATCTATTCCCCTGGCAACTTTCAAATATGCAGTACAGTATTGTTAACTATAGTCACCGCGCTGTACATGACATTCCCATGACTTATAACTGGGAGTTTGTATCTTTTGGCCACATTCACCCATTTCCCTCCACCCCTGCCTCTGGCAACCACCAGTTTGTTCTGTGTGTGTATGTTGTTTTTGTTTGGATGTCACAGATAAGGGAGAGCATATGGTATTTATTTTTGTGTCTGACTTATTTCACTCCGCGTTTTATCCATGTTGTTGCAAGTGGCAAGATTTTTAGCACATCTTAGACCCCACTTTTCTCAGAGACCAGAGGATGAAGCTGTGGGTGTATTCTGCCCGACCAAGAAGGCGCGCTGAGCTGTTCCTCTGTTGTGGCCTCATCTTTGCAGAGAAATTGGAGGCTGTGGAGAGGGACCGGGAGGAAGTGGGAGCAGCAGCTGTGGGGAATGGCAGTTTGTCAGAGATGGAATCTGGATTGCCAGGTGGCCTCGGTTGAGTCACCCCAGCGTGAGTTGGGCCAGGTGCCGTCTGAGTGGTGTCGTGCCCTCCCCCAGCAGAACTCGGCGCCATGCAGGCCTTCCTTGAGCTTGTCAGGTTTAACATGTGGCTCCTTTCCCCATCCTCGGTGCCAAGCACTGAGCACGCTGCTTCACTTTCCTTATCTCAGTTGTTCCCCCCACCCCACCCCCACCTCCGAGATAGGCATTGCCACCCTTAATTGACAGATGAGAAAAAGGACTGGCTGCTAGGGACGGAAAAGAACCTGTCCAAGGCCACCCAGCCAGCATCTCGCCGAGGGCCAGGAAGGAAGGCCAGGCTCCCCAGAACCAACAGGAACTGTCGGGGCCTCTCAGGGGCTCAGAGGACCTGCCCAAAGGATCATTGTTTCCACCAGGGCCGCTCTGTGGGAAAGGGTGGCAGAAGGTAGGGGTGGGGGAAATCAGTCTTTAAGAGACTCCTTCACAGAGTGTGACCTTCTCTCTCAGACAAGACAGCAGGGGGCAGAGGGAGGGAGAGCGGTGGGGGTGGCAGGGCAGGAAATGATTCTTCAGGAGGCAGTGGGGGCGGCAATGGTGGGAGGGGCAGTAGATTCGGTTTAGTCTTTGAAGTCAGTGGGGGGTAGGGAGCGGGCGGAGGAGTGGGGGGAGGCTGATGCCTAGTCAGTCACCAGATCTAGGGAGATCAGAACCTCACACCCCACTAAGCCTGAGAGGTGGTGGGTCAGAGCCAGTGGAGCAGGAAGCCAGCTACCCCAGGAAGCTGGAAGTGAACACCCACCAGGACGGAGGGGGCTCATTTGGGGTTGACAGGTCCCTGATTGAAGGGAATTTGGAGGCTGTCCCTATCCAAGTGGCTACAAAGCCCTCATGCCCAGGCCCCAGGCCGGGCTGGAGAGACCAGACTCCGGAACCATGGAGAGATAGATGGAGGACTGAAGTGCCCTGGAGGCTTCAGCGGGCAGTCTCTGTGGGCTCCCGGCAGGAGGAGGCTGGGGT